TCTTTCCCCAGTTTTAAAGACAACTAATAAGCAATATCCAGGAAATATTCGAGGCCTATCTGAGACCATAACAAAACCTATGTGTTTTCTATAATTGCTATATGTAGCAAATTAAGATGATGAGCTTTAAATATTTGATATCCACAGGAACCTACTCCTGGCATGCTTTCCACGAAGAAGCCTTTAAGAATGCATGTGTCCTGTGGTATGAACCAACAAGAATCAAGAACACTGAAGAAAATGCTTTTTCTGCCAGTAAACCATTATTTAAAGAGTATTTAACCCTCAGCAGCACATCCGACTGTTGAGTGAAGCTGATTTTTGAGCTACCAGGCTCAGACCTTCCCTGACCCTTGCCGTATGTTCTTTGATTAGACACACTCTTGTAGCAATATGTTAATTGCAATTAAAATAACATAGTCATTGTACCGGAACACATTTATCCAGTGGCCTGAGGTGATCTCAGTCCGCGCTGATGATGAGCCCATCGGTTCAGGAAGAACTGCTTACCTTTGCTGTCCGACAGCCAGAGAGGGCCAAAACAACACCCCCTTCGCTCTGCCCATTTAAACAGCGGTCAGGGAACTGCACACCAACAGCTTTTAGCTTCAGGACCATCTAACCTTCTCATGCCCAAACCCCCTGGTAGCAGACCTCTGAGCGCGTAGGCAAAGCAAGATTAACGCCGGCCAGATTTTCTTCCCGTTTCCCATCTCCTTAAAATCAAAAGAAAAATAAAACCCACCATGTTTTCACAACGGCTTTCAAAAGAAAAAAATACACAGTGGTGGGCCTTTTCCTAGACCGACGCATCTCTGAAAACCGCTCTAACACCTCCTTTGATAGCTGGGGTCCTGTCTCTATTACTTTAGTTGTAAACTGGAAAAATATTTTTATTTTGGTAAGACTAGTGCCTCTGAAATACAGCTTCACAAGACTCATTGCTTAGCTTCCCCAACTGAGATAAGATAATGAAATTTTCACATATAAAATTAGCATGACTAAATACCTACATACTACTGATGAGCCTGACTCTTCTAAAATACATACTGCGGAATAGCTAGTAGCATTGAGAAGCATTTTTAGCCTCATCTGAATGTAAAACATGCAAGTTAACATGGAACAATTTACTAAAGCAAAAACTGAACAAGAAATTTTAGCTGATGCAATCTTACCCTCATTGCTTCTGCTATAACAGATAATTTGCTATTGGCAGCACGAGCAATGAACGACGGCAGCACTTCACTACACCATGCAGAAGCTTATTAAAAACAAGGAAGTACGATAATATATTTCTATTAAGAATTCACGCTTATTATCCAGACTCCTGTTCTCCTAGCCCCTTTCAGGATGCCTTTCAATTCTACAGTTTTCATCTCAGACAAAAGATGATAACTGGATTCTGGACATCCATGTGTCAGAAGAGTTCTAACTAATCTCAGCAACGGTATTTCTAGAGTCAAGATTTCTCAGAAATTGAATGAACGACCTTTAATTAATCACTCCCAGACAGTTTGTGTGCGTGTATCAATGTTCCAAGAATAGGGTGTTCAAAAACAATCTGCAGGGAGCACAGAACTCCTGTGTCTAGCGGCTGCAAGCATCTAGTGCCCTGTCTTTAAGAACATGCTTCCCTTTTAAAAAAAGAAAAAAAAAATTGTAAACAGCAAAGACTACAGTGCTACAGTGGACAATTATTATTTCAAAGTCTACCTTGTTTGTATACACTGAAGTAGAATTTGAGGAATAGCTGTCTTGGTTAATCAGCTTGTCTCAGCTGCCCGAGAACCAGTAATTATGCTCAAATACTGCTCGGATAAAAGGATTATAACATGTTTCAATGGTGTTAAGTCAGAAACGTAACAACACTTTCAGACAAAGAATAGTGGGACAGCATAGCGATGCAGTGAAAAACCAGTATTTTTGGTTAAGTGTTTTTCTGTTCTTTAGCTGGGTTTGGCGACATGGGGCGTACGAGCACATCTCCCCTGTCAACGCTCCCGTGGTCAAAACCCACGCCAAAGCCAGCCACACGCGTGGCTTTTCAGCGCTGGACTTCCAGGAACGTGGCCACAACCCGTGCCTGCAGCTGCCATTTCTCTGGCTAGTCCGGGATGACAGCACGAGCGGCGGGAGCTACGGGCCTCTGAACTCACCGAGCCACGCAAAGCCCCAGTGCAGCCGTAACTTCCCGCTGCAGCGCGGCTCCCCGAGCAACTGCTCACTTTTATGGCCACTGCTTATTTCAGCAACACACAGTAAGGCAAGAAATGACAAATACTGTAGGTACAGACTCTGCGAAAAGCTTTCCAAAGAAATTTTCTTGCAGGCGAACAAGAGAAATGCTAGAAATAACGAGGAAATTAAGAGCAATGGGGGACCAAAAAAAAAAAAAAAAATCATAAAATTTGGCTTACTTCTCTATTAAATCCAGCGTGACTCCTGGCACCAGTCTGACACTCTTCTGCATACAGAACCTGTGGAGAAGAGAATAAAAATAAAACATACTAATTGAATATTTAATGACAAGGTTCTGTGGAAAGAATACGGAAGAGGGTTTCTTTATTACAGTGCTTCTGCTTTTAAAATGGTGCTTGGGTAGAAAACTTTGCCACAGCATAATAAGAATCAAACAAGGCCCTCAATATTTGTCACACTCATGATTATGCGGCAATTTCCATCGTCAGGTGTCAAAACTGGGGTATTGTAACTGTCACAGTGACAAGTTTTCCAGCACACAGCGGGGGGGAAAAGGGCTCCCAGTCATCCAGCACGGTCCCTCGGGAGGAGCACGACGACACGAGAGCCGAGGAGGTTTATGCTTCTGGAATAATGATTAGCGTTGGCTGGGTTTCCCTGAAGAGATTTGGCACTGCAGGCAGGAAAGTGAGAAAGGGAGGGAACGAGAGGGATGCGTCAAGTTCAAACACCTCAGTTATTTAATTAAAAAAAATGCTGACTCCATTTCCTCAGCATTACCAATACCGCTACTACAGGAACGCCGGCCCCGGAGGATGCAAAGTCCTGTCAGCACCACCCTGCCGTGCCTAGAAAACCCCAGGAGTCGCTAAACCCAAGCGAGCGTGGGAAGACAGCGCGACTGCCGGCCCGTTCCCGAGCGCCTGACTCCCTCCTCCAGAACTCTCGGGGATATGCTTTGTGCCCGGAAGTGGGAAACAATGGGAAGAAAAACCAGAAAATTCATCTTGAGAAATTACTGTCTCAGTGGTATCGCTACCTTCCCCGCATTTCAGAAACCCACTCTCTGTTGTCTAGTGAAGGATTTGCCGACGTAAGTTGATATTTAACCCCTATGCCTCGCTCCGCCCGGGAACAGAAAGCCCCGTGGGCAGCGAGGCGCCCGGGACTCCCACCTC